TAGAGTTCACAATTGTAAAATTAACTTTTCCCATTTGTAATTAATAATTTGTGGGTGAAATTTGGAGGCGCAAATGAAGTTAAACCACAATTTGAAACCTACCTAAGTGTAAGGATGATGTCTCACGATCTCTGTATCCCAGTCCCTACCACGCACGCCTGGATGTTTTTAAGCTGGTGGCACAACAAATGCTTACTGTATGAATGAATGATCGAGTAATTGCATATCCTTCACTCTTGTTCCCCTGGGTCCTTATTCTCACTGCTCAGTTAGAATTCCCTTTTGCCACCTGAAGTCTGGACAACTGCAAGAGCATCCTAGTTACTGCCTCCACACATCGAAGCCAGAATCAAGCCCTTTGGAGGCTTCCTGGAACACTGAATATTAAGGATCCCATTTGTATTACTTTGTAATGACGTTCCAAACATTCTTAGGACGTTTCACTCCTCTCTTCAAAAACTTCTTATTGGTTATGCCCAAATGAGAACTTTCTATAGATTCAGAGGATTTCATTTGGTAGGCACTCTTCTAGATGTTTCATCTCTAAATTGTTATTTGAATTCTCTGTTCTAGCCCATTACATTTTTCCAGTAGTGTCCAAATGTGACTTTTCTGCTCTTCTACCTGGGCCTTTCAGACAGGCTGGCTCCAAAGCAGTGCAATGCTCTTTCACTTTCCTGCTTCAATGCCTACCTTCAGAATGGCTTGATGTTTACTTCCTTTAGGAAGCCTCTGCTGAAATCTAGACACCACTAACAATTAACCAGCTGATCAATCAATACTCACATACGGCCTAGTGGTTTCTATGTATGCATAAACTTCATTTGTATTTTAAAGTGCTTATTGTGTTAAATGTTCACACACAGTGCAAGCCATGTGGTTCAAATTATATTTGACAGGATAGGGTACATGATGGACTTTGGTATCTGACAAGTGGACTGGCCCAAGTTCCTCCTTACTAGCTATGTAATAACTAATTACCTAATAACTAATTACCTCTTGAGACATCTATTTCCTCATCTGCAAAATGGGGATATTAATAACTACCTCCAGGAGTTGCAGAGATTAAATGTGAAGCAGTGGGCCCAGTGCTAGTAAATGGTGGATTTGTTGTATTGCACTACTACAACTACTATTAGATTAAGAATATAAGCCTGTTTAAGATCACTTGCTTTAAAGGCAGAACTAGTTCCTGTTTTGTAAAAAAGGACCATAGAAAAAAAGTGACTATTTCTCATGTAAGGCAAACTATTATATACATGCTTAAAGTCTTGGGAAATGAAACGTTCTCTTCTCACTTATATACTACAATATATTAAACTTGTTCTTCTCTTCAACTTAGGTAAACTATTTATTTCACCTTCAATGTTCATTTTTTTAAAAGTGGAAACAGCCTTTTATTGCCCTAAGAATTGGAGTTAATTAACTGGCTATATCTGTTGTATCATTGTCTATCTCATTAAACAAGCTTATTGCCTTCTTGTCAAATTGGAGCAATCAGAAAGATGTGCTCCAATTTGAGTTAGTCAACATATGCAAAATAAATTCACACAGTCAATATATGGTATGGGCATGTTCTGATGATAGAAACATTGGTTGAATTTGGAAAGGAAAAGAATGATCTAGTCCATTTTAACTGTTGAAAAGATCCTTACATTTCGTCATCAGGGTCCTAAGGGTGGAAAGTATATATTCCTTGGGGAAACATAACTAAAATGATGAGACTCTGCAGAGCCTACAGTGTGAGAACATGCTACCAAAGAAATCACTTTTGTCTTCTGGGAAGGATAATAGCAGGGTATGGTGCTAGACCACAGATGTTTGGTTTAACAGTTCACAGTTGAAGACAGTAGGTAGCCTCAGAAAAATTACAAAATGCTTCTGCTGAGCCAGTTACCAGTAAGATTCCACCTACGTATGCACTACTTAAATATCTTCCTACATACTTGAGCCTAAGTGACCTACCAGTATAGGGCGTCTGTGACAGTTATAAGAGAATGGCCTGCTTGCTTAGGATCATGTGTGGGTGTTGAACATGGCACTTTAAATTTATGAGGTGCAAATTTTTAATGCAAAGATGACTCATAAGGTTTCAGAATGTGTAAATATGAAGCACATTCTAATTTGTATCACCCCTGGTGCTCTCACCCACAGAAAAACTAGGCTGAGTTGATTACCAAATTGTTTGGACTACCAGGAAATTCACAAAATATGCCAGTCTTAATAAATTAGTGAGAAAAAAATCTTGGGCTCATGATTTTAACATTTGTGTGGCACTACCATCTTGAACCAACATTTTCTACTCAATCTGCATTTCACAACGTTGTTTTGATGGCAACATTCAATTACGACTTCTCTGAGATTGTGAAGCAGCAAGTCGGTTCTTTTGAGAAGTTACAATGGAAAATGTAAACAGAACGCAATTATATAATAAAGTAGAAAGATGAAAAAGAAAATTCTGGAACTTACAACGGTGGGTCTTTAGGTAGGTTTTTTTCATTCTATATCAATGTAGAATAATGATCTGTGTAGAAATATTTTAAAACATATTACTGAAAAGACATTATTAAGACATTTAATGATGGTAAGTAAACTGACTAAAGTGCATTAAATGTAGTCATCAACAATTAGGAGAAGCAATTTCTCACTGAAGTGTCATAATTTGACCATGGTAATCAGTATATGATGTATATGTTTATCAAATCATGTTGTACACTTTAATTTTTGTCAATTAAATATTTTAAAAGGAGAGAATAAAATGGAAAAATCATGGTAACTAAGCATTTCATATAGATGTTGAAATAAAAACTAAGATTAGTATTTTATGTGATTCATTTCTGATATTCCTTGAGGGTTTTATCCAATTGCTACAAAAAGGTCATAAAAATTTCCTTTAAGATGAACTGGTAGAAATTAGACCTTTAATAGTACTGGGGCTATACTTTGGAAATAAATCACTTAGCTGTCAGAGGAATAACTTTGGAAATTGTGGTGAAATAGACACAGCCAGAAGACCTAGAATTCAACAGGATATTGTTTTAATACTTAAGAATTGTGTGGCCCTAGGAGATGGGAAGAATATGAAAAGGAAAAAGGAACTTAATTAACCAATTTTGTAAGTGGAACCAATCATTATTCATAGTTCCCTTACAGGTGATTAAGATTTGCTAAACTTATAGATAGAAAAGATTTGTAATATGAACCTAAAACCTTAAGCACAGTAAGATTTTGGATTGTAACTTGAATGATTGTGAACTTAAAAAATAAATTTCTGGTTAGTCTTTTCTGCACAAAAACTAAAAACACTGTTGAGGTGATCTTTAAAAAAATAATTTTCATAGATCAATAGAAACAGATGCCAAAGAAGTTTTAAAGGCTTAACTGTTACATATTCAGAAAGTAACAACAATCCCAGCTCTAGCATTTAGCTTTTGATCATTTCTGTGTGAAAAAAAAATCATTTTACAGGGTCACCAAGGAAATAGTTAACAGCAAGGTTTTTGAGATTAAATTGTATTTACAATAAAAATAAATGTCAGGTCATTGGATCATTCTTTTATTAATGTTGGAGGCCCACTTAAGAATCACATTTATGAAGACACCCACATATAATAACAAATAAATAACCTTGGATTTGCTGACACACCACCCATGCACAGCTGGACCATAATGTAGTGTTTTAGTTAAATAGCAACAATCATATTTGGTCATATCCTTCAAGCTGTTACAAACGTAAGATGTTTACTCATTTCTAACTTCAGCTATTTACTATTTGAATTTATTTCCTAAAAGAGACAGACCTCTTGGTTTCATTAGGTTAATATCTTGGTTTTCTTTTGAAGACTTAATGTAATATATTAAGTGAAGTTACAAGCAAAATGAGTATTGTTTAATAATACTTAACCATTTGAGTAGCCAAGTGAGCAGACCATATGCTAGGAAATTCCCTGCACATTTATTTAGGTTTTCAGCTTTACATACTGTTAACTATAATTACTACACTAGGTGTAGTAACCTACACAAGGTGCTAGTAACCTCATAATTACCAAATCCTAAATGTTTACCCAAGTGGTTTTACTAGTTAAGGACAAATGAAAAAGCACTCTTTTTCCCTGCCTTTTGACAGGTTCAATGGGATTGTCAAAAGAATTATTATCCTGGCAAGCAGATCTAACTGGCATTCAGCTTCAAAATAAAATAGCAATAATTTTAACAACAAAAAGGTGGCCTCAAAGTGAAACGTACAACATTTCTTTTTATCAAATCTCACCTCTTAATGTTAACTATTTTAGTCCTGGCTGATCTCTTCTGATTTTCACTCATTAAATGTGCTTTCTTTCATCTGAAAAATGTCTGCTATCCCACAACCATAACATTTACATAATGTAGAATGCACTTAAACGTCAACTGCTTATTCATCTCACATATATAATGCACTAAAATTTGTATTTTATATGAGGATTAGTTCCCATCCAACTAGGTTCCCAAGAACAAGAATCTTATATTTCATCTGTGGCCTTCGCCCCCATGCTGGCACCTTAGCTCTTGATTAATCTATAGAGCTCATCAATTAAGACTCTGTTGCAAGGCTTTGTCCCAGTTCTTCACTACAGGTTAACTCAATTTCATATAATTGGCCTGTAATACTGAGGCTAAGTCACATTAACATTTTATAAATACATAATATAAATGTTAAATCCTAATGTTCCTCATTTTATTTTTAGTTGGTTAGAAGCGGAGTTTTAAAAAAATGTTTTTATAAACTTCTCATAAATCAGAACAACATAAACTAACCTCTCTCTAATAGACCAAACAGAGTCAACTGGGAACCTGTTTACCAAATAACTTTTTTGAAACCAAGGTAGCTGACAGCATTTAGCAAAAGCTTCTGTCTCCTGATACCCAAGCCCAGCCCAAACAATCAGATGGGGGTTGGGCAGAGTGAGTTAACATGACCCATTGTGGAAAGTGTTATGCAGAAAGTGCTATAAACATAAACATGTGAGGCACAGAAAATCTTTATTGCCACAGGAAGCAAGTGCACTCGTCCCACCTCACCAACAGCTTCAAGAGTCACAAAAACGCAGACTTCGCACAATAAAGTGTAACACAGACTTGGGCAGAAATGGTCCCTTGGACTAGATTGGCTGTAATACTGAGGTAACCAATTGACCTTGTTCAGTGAAAATACCTCTAACAAAATGAAAAAAATCAACTAGTTATAACATTCGATTCATATATACAATTCAAATAAAAATATATATTATTTGCTTTAAGCATAGCAAGTTTAATACATTAGTGTTTACAAAATAAAAACTGTATTCTACTGAAGTTTTTCTTGTGTTTCCCCCTTATCACTAAGCTTGAAAGACTGGAACAGTATGATAAGATACTTAAGGAAACTTATTTATGGATTAAAGGATATAATTTGTGGGTCCATGAAAGATGGATAAATATTAGCTGGAAGATTACTACGTCGTTAAAAATTGTCGATTATTAAAGTCTATAAACTTGAACTGTAAGACACAATTTAAAAAAAAAAAAACCACGAAATTTCTCAAAATAGATCAGAATACAGGAAACGTTTCATGAAACTACTGAGATACTAACCAGTGCTATGGCTAATATTAAAAACCGAACAGTCTATTTCAATTGTACTCATACTATTTCTACACACAGTGAACAATACAACCACGATAATCAACCTCAAACTAGCAACAAAGTTGCAAGGTCCATAAGAAGCTTCTTCAGTGAGCAAAACACTATGTTACAATTAAAACATTTAGGAAGGGAAAAAAGCCTTTTAATAGTATAAAAGTTGTTTACTGGTGTTTCTACTATAAAGCTCTTCTACAAACCAACATGAAAAAGCAATTATATATGTGACAGTGATCTGATACTATGGTGCAGACATTTCATCTAACATTTGGCTGACAAATTTTAGTATAACAGATTATGACTTAATATTTTTTACACAGTTATGATCTAGAGTTGAACTGAAAACAAAAAACACATACTCCATGTCAATACACTCTGCTTGTTAATGTCTGGGTTTAGACGAATCTGTAGGACGTAGTAAAGCTGTCAAACATCTTCTCTTAAACCAACAGAAAAAAATGTATATTGGCAGATGTATTTGGTTTTGTTTTTTTTTTTACCACCGTGGAGTCCAGTGTGAAATTCTTGGAATTACACAAGTGTATCGGTAACATTTAAGCACACCCCCACACACATATATGCACACAGTCCATTAATTAAATAGGGGGAATTAAAAACATACTGTCAAGATGAATTTTAACAAAAAACTACATTCACAAATCTGAAAGGTGTACAAAAATGAAATTGTAAAGTAAATGATCAATATAGGTGTCAACTAAAATTCCATAGAAATATGCTTGCAAATGTGGATGCAGTGATTGCCCACATTTGTGGTGGCTGGGTGGGAAGACATTCCCTACTGAAAGCATCTAGTCTCTCTGACTCCTGTATACAGGGAAGAATTTCTGGATATAAAATGGTACTTAATCTATTACAGCCTTAGTTAACAGGCACCATCTTTATCACATGTAAGGTTAATTTACCATGTCTTAATCTATCAAACACATTCTGACATATCGATATCTAAGTCAAGGCTCTTACACATTGGTCCACTTGTTTCAAGCTGTCTGTCCAAGCAATAGCTTCCTATCTTTGATACCATTTTAAGTAGCTATTAATATAATCTGTATCAACCAGTTAAATTTTCTACTCTATTGCTCATCTTTTTAACTTTCCTCCAGTATTTATAAATTGTGTAAATGTGCACTAATAACCAGATATTATACGAATAAATGCTACACATTTCCTGTTAAACAAAAATCAGTTTTATCAAATATTAAATCCACAATATTTTCCTTGGTTTAAATTGAGTATTTGCTTTCCATTTTTCCATAGTCATTGCAACCTTGCCAATAACTACATCACTTAAGCTTTCTTTTTTCATAGTTGCAAAGATTCTAAACTCTGACGTATAATATTTATGCTAAATACACAAAGTAGACAAAATTTCAAGTAAAATAAACTGTATCCATGTCTATTGGATCAAACAGGTCTCAACATCTAGATTTTACTTCTATAAATTACACAAATACATTGTACATTCTTAAATAATGAATGCTTACAATATTAATTTGTAAGCCTTTCACATAAATGATTTACACAGGAATGTGAACAGATCAATATTTCTGTTACAGATTGCCACACTCTCGATTTTCTTTTGTGGCTGTTGTTTTATCTTCCTGGTTTCCACAGACTACTACATCAGTCCTTATGCTTTGGCTATGAAATCTGTTTGAGCTGAATGAGGCAACACTGGTTATTAAGGCTTATTTCTATGATGGAGTATTATCCTTAAATCTGATGCCATTTCCAGAGAACAGTGAGAGAATCACAGCTATCTTGAATCTTCAGGCTCTGTTTTGATGACTTTCTTTTCTAAGGTAAAAGCTGAGTGAGGGTAGTCTTTTAGAATCCCAAGGCTCTCTGTATAAAAATGGAAACACAAAGTCTGTTGATTTTTTTTTAAACCAACAGGCTACAAAAATCAAACAAAGGTATAAAACACCCCCCAAACTCCATAGCAAATAGTATCAATTATTCATGATTCTTCAATTCCATATACAATTTTTGTTTAGAGAGTTGCAAGTACCAGCTCAAATTCTGGATTTAACTCTCTTAGTGCGGCGGGCCGAAAATACCGGCTTTTGTGCAAAAGAGGGTTAAATTCCAACTCTGCCAATTACTAGCTGTATACATATCTGGGCAAGTCGCATACCCTCTAAGCCTCAGTGTCTTCATCTACAAAATGGGGATGGTACCTACAATAAAGTGGCAAGAAAGTTAACTGATGAAATGTACTAAAACACTTAGCATATAGAGCATATCAATTTTTATTTAATTGTTGGTCCAACATGATGAATATATAAAATAAAGTTTAGTGTGGTGGCTCATGCCTGTAATCCCAGCAACTTGGAGGCTGAAGCAGGAGGATAGCTTGAGGCCAGGAGTTTGAGGCCAGCCTGGAAAACATAGTGAGACTCCATCTCTAAAAAAAATTAGCTGGGTGTGATAGCTACTCGGTAGGCTGAGATGGGAGGATCCCTTGAGGCCAAGAGTTCAAGACCAGCCTGAGCAACACAGTGAGAACATATATCTTAAAAAAAAAAAAAAAATTTTTTTTAATTAACTGGATACAGTGGCATGTGCCTGTAAACCCAGCTACTCCAGAGGCTGAGGCAAAAATATTTAAACATCTAAATTTAAACATCTAACTATAATGAGGAACTGCTTATCCTGTTATAGAATTCAGTTTGCTTCTGAAATATAATTATCATCCCCCAATTGCATGAAAAGTTTAGATTTTGGTGCACAAGGTTTTCTTAGTATAAGAGCAAACAGGGAGTCCATCAATTTTATACTTTGTTATTGCCAGAAAAAGGCAATAACTCAAACCAGCCATCTACTATTCAGTTTAAACTTTCATATAAAAGTCACCATTCATGTTAATAGCTATCAAAATAATCTCAACCTTCATGAGTTTTCCCTGTCCTTCTTTGGAATACCAAGTTCTCAAAAAAAAAAAAAAAAAAAGACTAGCTAGTGTCTTGGCAATCTTATCATTTCCAAGGGAAGAAAAACTGATGGCTGAGCACCCCTTTTTCAAAATGCTTGGGATGAGAAGTGCTTTGACTCTGGATTTTTTCAAATTTTGGAATATTTGCACTATACTTACTGGTTCAGCATCTCAAATCTGAAAATCTGAAATCCAAACATTCCAATGAGCATTTCCTTTAAATGTCATTTTAGTGCTTAAAACGTTTTGGATTTTGGAACATTTTGGATTTCAGATTTTCTGATTAGGGATACTCAACCTGTAGTAACATTGTTAGTAATGACATTTTCTGCTAGGGGAAGGGACAGTGGGAGTAGAATTTAAAGATGCTTTAATTCAAGCATTACTCTCTAATCCCATACTACATTCTCACCTGATGAGCGGGACTTTGTCTCACTGGAGTAAAGTCTGCTCAGCTCCCCATCTACCACAAAATGATGGGGTTGTCTGTTCTGTAAATTAGGCATTCGGAGATTCAAAGGTCTTTCTCCTAATGAAAAGAAAAAAAAAATAAATAGGAATAATATTAAAAACATACCATGCTTTTTCTTAAAAATAAGTTTTCACAAACTACCTGAACACTCCTTAAGAAAGGAGTGAAGAAAGTCAGCAGGCACTGAAGAATTTAAATAATAGTTGGAAAAAACATTTTAAATAATTATTTAGGGGGAAAATGGCCAATTATTTCATACTAGTCCCAAGATTTACAATTCTGCCAGGACATCTTTAAGAGCTAAAAATGAATTAAATAAAACCCTGAGAATTCCAGTGAGCATTCTAATGACTTTAAGCCAATTATAGATTATTAAAAAAATAAAAATAAAAAACTATAGCAAAAAACAGAATTAGCACAGATATGGTTAAAAATTCTTTATATACCAAGTCATATTCTACCATAAACTGAAATCTATCACATTAGCAAACTGTCACCCAACACTGAATTATCCTGGTGTCACAAATTAGAGTCACAAAATCTTTCATAATTGCCTTTGTTTCTTAACTGTTCAGAATAATTAGAGAAGTTAAATGAGACCTCAACTAAAAAGTTTCTGTCATATTTTAAAAAGGAAGAACTTTCTTCTCCTCCAGTACTCTGATCTCCTGGCACATGTAATATTTTATTCCATGGTTGGAGAATGTCTCTTAAGATGATATTCTTACTTAGAAATCTTATTTTTTGGACAATAGTAACCATTCTTTAGAAGTGTTTTTATATATATATATACACACACACATATATATAAAATGCCATATCATATAAAAGGAAGGCACTAACAAATTATTTTTCTTCTAACACTTATTATTAGTTGAAACTAGAGGATATATTTAGATACTGTACATCTTCCTCCACTGGAGTATAAGTTCGGAGGGAACAGGGTCTTGCCTTGTTCACTGTTGCATCTTCAGTGCCTATGGGTGTGACTGGCACATAGGAAACATTAAACAAAAATATCTGTTGAATGAGTAAATAACAATGACTTGGGATTTCTTCATGTGAGGACATGAAATGAAATAATTTTTTGAATGGTAAAAATACTCATGAATCACATAGTTTTCTAAAGCTAAGAGTTATACTCTGTCATAATACTTTTGAAGCAGTTACCATATTCTCCTAACAACCAAATGTTATAAATTTCACAGACAAATCTGTTTTTGAAGTCTAAAAAAAAATGAAGTTTTGATCATTTTTAAAAAGGATAAACATCTCCTATGGAATCTGCTTATTTGGGAAAAATGATCTGTATTGTTTACATCTCCCAATATCACTCACTCACCCTTTACAAAATAACACATCAATCACATGGGCAACTGTTGTTTAGAAATAATAAAGTTTAAAAAATAAACAAATTAAAATTTGCAGGATAAATTCCTTTTTAGAAAAAGGGACAATTTAAAAATTAATTTTGATAAAGAATTTATAAAATAATCTTAACAAAATATCATGATTTAAAACCCAGCCATTATTTTCAGTTTCACTTTGAAGTGTACGTAGCAGTGGCTCTAAAAGCGCAGGACACTCTAAAGAAGTACCTTGTCCATCTGAGTTATCGGAAGTCAAGCCATTAGGACTGTGCTCTTCTGAGCTCTGCCTATAAAGTCCTGCAGACAGTCTTCTCTCAGCATGCTGCAGTCTCTCATAGCCAGCTTGGGTGCAGAGGAACTCCATCTGCTTTGCCATCACCTTTTCAGGCTGCTAGTAAGTAAAGCAAAAATAAAATCAGTAACTAAAACATTCTAGATTTTTTAATGGTTTAAAGATGCCAATTTCAGACTCCAGCAAATATATTTAGTATTCATTAAAATTAGTTCACACTTCATGTGGTATACACGTTCCATAAATATGCATAGATGTCTGTATCATCATGTTAAAACATAAAATGTTGGATTTTGTACAAAAGGAAAAAGGTTTCTTCTCAATCCCATAAAGAGAATTTCATTTCAGCTCAAAAGCAACATAACCTTAGCTTTGTTTTCCAAGGTACTGAGTCCTTTAAAGGATTTTTAAAAAAAGAAACCTAAGAGCAACAGCAACATCTGCTATAAACTGCTTCTAACACATAGGGTGAAATCTTGGCATTTTTATTTTAGGATTTGGCACTACATAAACTCTGATATGATGACAGTATGTTTGGGGGAGAAAAAGTGTAAAACGGCTGTCTAGAAGAACAAGACAAACACACCTCCCACTAAAATTAAACAATGCAAATTATGCAGAAAAACATCAGTGCCAACTTTCATCATGGAATGAAATTGCAATATTTCCCAACCAATCATAAAAAGAGGTGTTTTAAGATGTACAATTAGTGAGCTGACATAGATTTATCTCTACATGTGTTTCATAAGTTACTTCTCTATGTTCTGCTCTAAATTATTTACATGTGATTTTCAAAGCAGTGTACTTGCGATATTTTGCCAAGGAGGTCATAGTCAAAATGCACAGATGTGAATCACTACCATGCCATATAAAAGAGTAGTACAAGAAATCTCCTATATAAAACTGGTTACAAAAAGTCCTGATTCACAATATTATTTTAAAAAATCAATAGGTGGACTCTTACCATTAACAATGTTTTTTGAAAATATATAAATAAATAAAAATAAACAGGTGGAATAGCTAATTCATAGAATAAATAGGATAAACACTTATACTCTTTTTCTGAATGCATGTAAACCAGATCAAAATTAACCAAAACTTCATTTCATCTAAATTTGCTACTAATTGAAAAAATTTCAATAAGCAAAATGCTTATTGAGGGGGAAAAATGTATGTTTCATCCTATCATGAAAAAACAAAACTTGGCAATACTAAATGTGACCAAAAGCAAGTTACTAGGAAGAAGCTCAACAGGAATAAAAACTTATAGTGCTTTCTAAAAGGTGATGTATGCAGAAAGAACTTTTTAAAATATTAATTTCAGTGTACATACATACACAATTAAATAACTTAATGACAAAAACACTTAACGCCACATACTAATTTAACAAATGTTTCAGTATCTATGAATTTTTTTTTTATTCATTTTTTCTTCTTTAGCTAACTACAGTGAAAATGAATGTATCTATGAATTTTAATGATTACAACATTGACTATTAATATTTTATTGAAAACTAGTACTATTTTTTTGAGTTGTACTGCACACAGTCATACCCAACATAGCTGGTTTTCCTGATATCAAATTGTTTCTTTTAAGTTTTCTTGACAATCTGTCTCAGTTCCTACAAAACTACAAAGAATAAATAAGCAGTACTATATCAGATTCTGTTCATAAACCAAATCAAATCAAGTTGTTATTGCTATCTTGTTGATACAGCTGTGGATCAGATGATGTCATAAAAACAACCAGAAATAAATTCAGTTCTCAGACACTTAAAACCGAAGCTAGCTGAAGTAGTCATTTATTTTTTAACCTACAGACACCATTATGAAATAACAACTGGTAGTTACCTGTGAAGTAAGAGCTGCGAGTTCTTCACTCTTAGCTCTAGCCTGCTGGAAGAGCGTTTGCACAGAGTCCTGGAAATCTGGAAACCCATCCTGTGGGTCAAAGAATAAGTCCTGTATATTTAGAGTTTATAAAAATAATAAAATAACCATATTATCAAAAAATCAGAAAATAAGGCAAAAAACCCCCACTTAATCCTATTACCTGAGTAATCATGATTAAGATTTTAATTTAGAAAATGAGGAGAACCTATCTATTAATATTAAGGCTGGTTGTGATGATCATTTGAGAGAAAGCAAATTAAATTATGCCTTTACTATATAATAACTACTAAATAAGTATATCAATATATACTAAATTCTTTATTAAATAGGGTCTATTTGGGGGCACTGTATTCCTGGATAATACCTCAACTTCAATTATTTCCATTTTATACTTTAAATATATGTATTCTACCTACTACTTTTTTCAAAAATTTTTTTGTCTGCTTATTGCTCCACATGAACTTTATCACTACAAAACATCATTATAGCATGGTTTTAGTAACTTCAGTGAAAGCTACTAAAAGACTCCTTACAGAAATTATCATTAACAATTAAATTCCCAAACATGTATTTCCTTCATTATTTAATAAACTCTATATTTGTAGCAGGGGGTGAATCATTAAAAACCAAAGTTCTTAAAATACACAGTAAAAGATATAATAACGACAAAATATTTTACCTTGAGATAAAAAAAATAGTGGTTCAAAAACTTTTCCCAGAAAAATTAATTTCTCCATTGCAGCTATGTTTTCAAGTATTTTATCTACCAAAATTTATTTCCTAACTAATAATTAATTTGCTATTTTTAAAATTCAAAGTCATGAAATAATAGGAGTCAAGAGCAAATAAGCTTCACATCTTGACATAGTCTTATATAGCTTTATGGTAGGTCAATATACAAGCAGTACTTTTAAAGTACTGAATATAGCTACGCTTCTAGGTCTCTACATTAGCTTACAGGAATTATCATTAAGTGAGCCAGAATAAGATAAATGAAAAGAGTACTTTTTTTAGCCATTCCATTTCTCTTCTAAGAATTTATTTAGACCTAAAAATCCAACTTTCTCTTTAGCATATCCTCAAGTTCTAAAGTGCAATGAGGTATGCCAGTAGAAGACTTAGAGCAACAACAACAATAAGAGCAGCCTACAATGTGTGAGTCCCTAGGTTCTACATTTTATGCACATTATCTAATTTAATCTTCACCATAAACAACACTAGATTTCCCTGATTTTTATAGCTACAGACACTGGCTTCAAAGCCTATGCTCAATCCATAAATTCCTAGAGTTAACACCTTTATGAAACTCACAATAAATTTAGGCATTTCTCCTATAGCTGTTTTTCATAAGCTGAAATGGCTTTAGCTCTGTGACTTGCACTGAGTTCAAAACCCAATTCTACTTATTTGTTGTGATATTGGGCAGATTATTTCATCTCTGTGTCTGTTTCCTCATCTATTAGATGAGGATAACAAGTGTACCTGGCTACCTTATAGAATCATTTTAAGGAAGCAAAAATTTCATGAAAAATACTTAGCACAGTGCAACGCACAAAGGAATTAAAAAACATTTGTAACTGATATTTATTAAGTTCATCTAAAAAGCCACCAGATTTAATCAGAGTAGAGCAGATCACATGCTATATAAGAAAGTGACTTACTATATCTCTATGATACAGGGAGAAAAGAATAAATTTTATGGATATTTACATAGTGTGGATATCTTAGAAAATGAGGAACTAGACATAACCAGCCATACAATATTGACTATATTGATAGGGAACTGTCTAGTGAAAAGAACATTGGAAATCTAGAAACACATATTCCAATGTTCAACAAAAATGTCTCGTTCACCTAGCCGGTTCCTATACTGTATTCAATATGGGCAGACAGTGGCACACAAGGCAGGCATGCCTCCTGCCCTCCTTATAAATACAGTCTAGAGAGGGAAATGGATGGAGATGCACAGCACAGCAGAGGGCCCTGTGGCAGAGAAGGCTTCCCAGAGGGTTGTCTAGGCTGAGGCTTGATGGAAAAGAGTTCTCTAGGAAGAGAGAGAGCTGCTTGTATAAAGGCATGAAGGCAAAAGAGGAGGATACACTGTAGAAGCTGAAAGTACCTAATATAGCTAAAATAGGGAAGATATTGAGAAAGAGTGGTGAAATAAGTTGGAAAGGCAAGACCAGAAACTGTGAGGCCTTGTAAACTATGTTAAGAATTTTAGATTTTATCTTAAAACACAAAGAGAAACCCACTTAAGGTCTTAGAGATGAGATTGGTCAGCTCTACATTTTAGAAAGCCCAATCTGAATGCCATGGGTACGTGTAAGGGGGTCCAGGATGGTGGCAGGGAGGGCTGTGGTTAGAGGGCTATGGTGAAGACAGGGAACAGTGGCCCAGCCCCTGGCAATGGTAGATGTGACACAAAATAAGCCAACTGGGAGTCTGGCGGTGACATTCACTAGAATAAGGAACTCGAGACCAGGAGGTTTGGGAGGGGCCAGAAAGTCGATGAATTCAGTTGGGGACATGTTCAGCTCATCTGCCAGTGAACCAGGTAAATAGATAAGCCAGGTAAATAGGGGCCCTGAGTTTAGACTTGGGGTGAAATCAGAGCTGGAGACTCAGATTAGAGAGTCATCAGCACCCAATCAGGATCCCCAGGAGCGCCAATCTCTCAATACTGCTTCTGAAGGAGCTTACAGGAGGAGAAAGGAATGGTCTAGTCTTTTCACGTTAGGAACCAGATGAGTAACCTCAGGCAAGAAAGTTAACCTCACTGTTTCCAGCGTTCCAAATGTTTAAATGGGGATTATATCACCTGCTTTGTCTGCCCAGTGGAGATTTCTGGGGATTAAATGAAGTAACACAAATTGGAAAATCTTGGGAAAGTACACATTGCCATACAAATACGTGGTGGCACCACTGTCAGGATTATTCAACCAGGCAGATATTGAAAAGCAGAAGGGGAACTTCTAACTCTACATGTAGGAATTTATGAAAAATGGACATTTCCATCATTAATAAAGAGAAATAAAGGCCTATAATAAGTAATAAATAACAATATCCAAAAAAATCAGTGACCTCTCTGCAACTGAGTACATTGGTCATTTTCTCCCACAGTCTTGACAGTTCATTGTGGATGGGAAAACTACAGGACTGAGTAGCTATTACTGCATGTCATATAAAGTAGGTTTAAGGTACCCAAAATATACAACTTAGAAATAAAAGGGAGAATATTCCCAAGAAAGTTATGTCTTTCACATTATGTTTGGTACAGAACTTTTGTTTCCCAGGCTCCAGCTGCACCGTGCTGTGAGCAGTCTATCTCCACGTCATACTTTTGGTGGTTGCCATTAATCACGGTATTCCCGTGCTGACGAGACTCTGGGTCTGAGCACTGAGAAAATAAAAGATAGAAGGCAGGATGCTGTTCATGACCTAAATTACTCTCATCCCATTGGTCTCCACCCCCATTCCTCCTCACTCTTCCTGCCAAACACTAGCAAGCTGCTTTAAAGCCACTGCTTAGCCGTCTCTAAATGACTTGCTACAGCAGATGTTCTCAGCCCCACATGTGCATTTTCCTTTTTTCTACTCACACTTTCTGTATGAATAGCATATTGTAATGCTTCTGTTTTTCTGATCCAGAGGGGAAGAGTCTACACCAAATTAGACCAGCCTTCTTTTCAACAAGCTTAGTAACAGCGTAGGTGGATATTCTGATCCCCACCCCCACCAACTGCTAGCAGATGTTTCCTCCAGGTCTTTCTCTTCAAGCCCAATTCTCCAACTTCCTGGGCTCTATTTAACAAACCTCAATTCTTTTATCCAGTTATCTCGGACTGCTTTGCACCCTGACACCCACAGGGTCAAGAATGTTGTCACCTCTCATCTCTGTCTAGTCCCCAGTAATTTCAGTGAACGAAGAAAACACAGATGAGAGATGTAGTCAGCTGCCACCACCAACCCTGAGACTGGCAGCTTTACATACCCTTCCTCTGTTCTAGGATGTTACTTATAACACTGCAGTTAATGACAGAGTTTCTTCCTCGAAATCGATGTGTTCTTACAGATAAAGAAAAGATATAAACTGAATCCACTTTCAACTGACATTTTCAAAAATTTAGAGGACAAAAGAGCAGGGACTCTGGTCTTGATTTTTCATCTCCCTGAACGAGCTGTTAAGCCATCTTAAATACATCTGTCACAAGTAGGGCATAGGAAATCAATTAATTTCTTATGCAGTAAGATAAACAGTAAATCAGTTTCTTGATTTACTGTTTATTTTCCCAACACACTGTTTTTACTCATTTTAAACAATCAGCATATCAAATGATAATCTCTTATAAATATTTTATAACTTATATTGTTCAATTTTCCACTCAAAAATTATTGTTTACTAGAATAAACTTCCTTGAATTAGAACACAGTATATCAGTCAGCATATCAAATGATATAGAACAAAGTATAACAATCAGCATATCAAATGATAATCTCTTATAAATATTTTGTAACTTATATTGTTCAATTTTCTACTCAAAAATTATTGTTTACTAGAATAAACTTCCTTGAATTAGAACACAGTAACTGCTGCTATCTGACCTTTTCAAAGACTACCAGTCTTGTGCACATTTTGTCCTTTAAACCATCCTAGCAGGAACAGGTATAACACCAATCGTGTTTTTACACTTAATGTGCTTTGCGAATGTTCATTACTACCTGGGAAGGTGGTATCACTTTGATGTTTAGGAGTCAGATACAGACTGGAAGCTGTGCCTCTGCCACTGGAACCCTTGTGGGGTCTCTCCTTGGCTGTAAAATGGAAATCATAAAGCCTCCATATAGGCCAAGCAAGACCATCTGTGATAATGAATTGCAAATGCCTAGCAGGGACTGATGCATACTAGCAGGGACTGATGCATACTAGAGTCAATAAAAAGTAGTTATTTTCACAACTGCCCCAGGCTGAGAAGATTTGAGATTTCTGATGAAAATGAATAGTAAGAATAAATATAATCCATTTTCATTTCAGTTGAGTGGATTCACACAGATGGTTGTATTCCGGGTGGACAAGCTATGTCATCCAGTCTAGGCAAAAGAAATACTCCCAAACCTCACTTATTAACACATGGAGTTGAAGAGGTGCCTTCCCTAGAGGTTTCATTCCAAATGGTGGGTTTCCTAAGGTCAACCCAAGTTGGCAGTCTTTTTCTCTGTGTCTATCTTATTCTAGGAATTAAAGAGATAAAGTTCAAAATTTCTATGTTTTTAAATGTTTAGTATCCCCTGTAAGAAGGAAGATTATTTAAGGATAATAAATTATCTTAAGTACTTCTATGCAATGGGTATACTGGTATTTTTTTTTAAAAATCAAGTAAGTAATTAACTATCCTTTAAGAGGAAACTACTATATAATAAGAGCTTTGCAGGCAGAAAAAATTGGACAAATATTTTAAAACTTCATTTTGCCCAAACCTTCATGTACAGCTCAGGAAAATATGGCATTTAGCAGCAAGAAAAGATCTTACTGAGCTTGAAGAAAGCACTGTTTTTATTAGTACACCCGAATGCACTGATAATGGCAGGCAATAAAATGTTTCTCTTTCCCTTCAATGTCAAATTATTTTGATGTCATTTTTATTTTATCTGTTGGACATTACATTTCTTTCTGTTCATTATAAAAATTATCTTTTCAAGGGAAAGTTATCTTTTTTCAAGGGAAAAAAGTCAGCAACTTGGCATGTATGCTTATTGGTTATCGTAAAGGATTTTGGAAAACTAAAGATGAAAAGCAAAAGAAAATACTGTCTCATTAATTTGGGCCTTGTAATCAGGAATCTGTCATACTTTACAATGGGCTAAATTAAGCTTATCCGTATATTATTTTCCTTAAGTAGAGAATAATAAGCTGAGAATCACAAGAGAAATATCAAATGAAATAAGAGAAAAATTATATTCAAAGAATTCTAAAAATCTTACTAGTTTTATTTTTGAGGTCCTTTGTGTCAGTCATATTCTCTAGACAAACTGATCTACTAATCATTCTCTAAACATGCCTAGTATTTTCTTACCTCTGTGTCTTTGGCCATGCTATTCTATTTTTATAATGCCATGCACAGCCCTCACCTGCATCCCTATCTTCTGAAATTCCTTCTTTTAAAAACCCATCTTAAATGATATCTCCACAATAGAGCCTACCCTAATTTCTTCTCATGTCAGAAATTCTCTCTTTCCCAAATAGCCACATAGAAGATAGACATGAACAAAGCACTAGTACCTGGTGAAGAGTTTTAAGAGATTAGTAACTCTATGCAGCCAGTACTAACCACCTCAGTATCAACTTTAAAAAAACAGCTCCAGTATCTCAAATCTGACTGGGAGTACAACACAACAGAATTCAGACAAAGATTTACACCAATACTATATATACAAAGGATTACACTATCTACATGCATAGGTATACACACAAACAATTTGAAGAGACCTGCAATATACAAGTGCTTAAAAAAAATAAAAAAACTAAGCAAAAACAAAACAAAATTAAAAACATACAAACCAAGAACAAACAAACAAAAAATGAACCAGTATCCTAAATTCAAAACTGTAGTCCCTACTTATTTCTAGAAAACAAAACCAAGAGTTTAGTGACCCTGAAAGCATTCAAAGAAATTTGGGGCTGATTTGGTCACTTGTCTTATTTGGGAAGGGTCAGAATAGTTATCCACAGGAAAAAGAAACACTGATTATCTTAATCCTGAATCCCAAACTGTTCAAAGTAGCTTTGTGAACTCCAATAAACCAACAAAATAACCATGTAGAATTAGAATTCAATTATCTCTAGTGGAATATATTTAAAGGAACAGAAGGGTCACATCTAATGCTATAACCCTACACTCTGCCCTTCAAATAAGAAACTCAAACACTGTAACTGAATATAAGAAATAGTTTGCTTAAATTTCAGATCAGGGCCATTGAGAAGGTCAGAAAAACTTACCAATACAGCCTAATGGGAAATAACTACAGCTCAAACAGTCTATTAGATTCACGATCACAGATTTCAATGTTCAATATCTCTGAAGCTATGCAAAACAGACAAGTGGGGATTAAATGTGACAGCAGCCTGAATCATGATCACACTGAGGGCCAATGGTAAAAAAGAGATGTGGAATTATTATTAGCCTAGCAGCTGGCTTCTTTTCCTGGTCACTGGATAGGCTTTATGCCTTCTTTCCTTTAAATCCTCCAATGGCACATACCTTCTTAACAGTTTCTATGTTTACCTGCCTTCCCTTCTAGTGGCAGTGAGTCACTGACTGTGGATTTAGTTAGTCACTCGCTAAATCGATAAAGATCCTCTATTACTTGGGGGTGCAATAGGATAAAACCATCTCACTAGTTAGACCTCCATGGAAAAACTGTCTTCCAAGAAACTTAGGAACTAAGTGAAGAAGCTTCATCTGTATTTACAGCCGCTCCCCATTGCTCACATCACTGCCTGAGCTCCAACTACCCTCCCACCCCCATGGAAAAATTGTATTCCATGAAACTGTTCTCTGATGCCAAAAAGGTTGGGGACCACTAAGTTAGACCATCTTTCACTGCAGCCTTTTATATAATTTTAACAAATTTTCTGATTGGTACCTGAGGCTAACTATCTTAAACATTATTCAGAGCTAACAGTGAGGCAGATGACAAATATAAGCACAATTTTTAAAAAACATGCCCCTTTTAGACTTTTGAGAACCACTGCTTTAGGATAAAGTATTCAGAAGTTAAAGATGCTTATTCATAGCCATTCATTATTCCATCCAACACATTTTATTAAGTGCCTATTAAGTAGAAGGCACTGTTACAAACTCTGAGTATATAGTAGTAGATACACAGATAAGAGCCCTATTCTTAACTAATGGGGTAGACTGATAATAAATTTAAAACAAACACATAATAGTTTCAGGTAGCATTAAGTGCTATGAAATCAGAACAAACCAGGACAATGAGCCTGAGTGTGATCTTAGGGTGAGGGTACCCCTTTAGAAAGGGAGGCAGGGAAGTCAGGAAACTCAGCTTCGACTTGACTTTTCCTTATATTAGGAAAGTATAAGTCCAGGTAGAGGGAACAGTGAGTGCTGAGGTACAAGTGAGTCTGGCATATTCCAGGGACAGAAAGTTGGCCAGTGTAGGTGGAACACAGTAAAAATGGGGAGTGTGGTAGCGGATGAAGCAGGAGATGCAAACTGGATTCAAGTCATGCAGGGTCAGGAAAAAGCTTAGAGTTTATTCTAGGTAGAGTAGAAAGCCACTGGAAATATTTAAGCAAGAAAGGGATTTAGGTTTTTATAGGATAACTCTGGCTTCAGTATGAGTAAAGGAGTATTGCCATACAAACAGATACTTAGTAAGTATAATTTGATGATGAAAATGTAGGGTAGTCAAGCACAACTTATTTGTTTTAACTTGAAATTAAATAATGGGATAGCTGGGAGAACACTGACTCCCATGCCCTGCCTAAGAGAAAAAGGAAGAAAGGAAGGAGCTGACTGACTTCAGATTTCCACTCTCCTGCACACTGGACTTTTAAAAAAAAATATTGAATCCAAATTAAGAAACCATTCAGAAGTAGTTCTGAAACCATTCTATGGTTCTGAAAGCCCTAGGAAAAGTACATTTTTCTCGCTCAACTCTCACCTTTCCATTCCCAAGTCTAAAATCAGAAGAACAGCCTCAATCGTGATCCTCTAAAGGGGGTTCTAATTATAGTAGTCTCTAATTTACAGCTACTAAATTGTCATTTCTCTCATATAGTTAATATAAAGAAACTAAAAGTCCTCTGCATGTATTTGATAAGATGACTAATGATGTAAATAAGATTACAAAAGGAACAGTTTATCCAGTAAAGAGTTTTAAATCTGTAAGAAACATCCATCTGCAAATCAACCTTTGATAAATTGGACATCAATATACTCACCACAGTTTCCTTTTAAGAATTTCCTTAGTCAGCTAACTCAAATTACCACAGATACCGTACTTCAAAATAACGAAATTCTATATTGTTTTTAAGATTCTATAATTTATATTTTACTAGTTTATGGGACTATCCCTTTTTGTCTGAACTAGTAATATTCTACTTTACTTTAAATGATCTTCAAACAGAAGAAGCAGACATTCTTAGCGTAAGAAAATGTTATACATAACCATACCTCCACTTTAATTCTCTTTGGGGATAATTCATCTCTTTCTCCACACTTTGACCTAAAGGGAAGGGGAGAAAGAGAAAAACTTGAGAAAGGAATAGATTTTATTCCAAAGGCATCTCAATCAATAACCTTCCAGCAAAAATAGCCCTGAAACCAACGCCAGAAATGACATAATGAACATTAAAATAGTAAAAAAGAGATTTTTCATCATTTAAAAATTAATATTAGGGCCATACATAGATACAATTACACATTTTAAAAGACTACTACCTAAGAACTCCCTATACAGACAGCACTCAATAAATATTTAATAATTATCACATAATGAAAATGAAAAAATATCAGGGAGGATATCCCTTTACATTCAGTAGGAACAACTGATAAAATTACTAAAATGATCATTTAAGATGAATGCTTAAGGTTACATGAGATTAAAATGCATTTTGTCTGCCTGTCAAAACTACAGACGTATTTACCTTTAACCCAGAAATCTCTCTGCTGGGAATCTATCCCAGAGGCACCTACACATATATAAAATGGCACTCCATCAATTCTAAGGCACATAATTATTTCACTTACCAACATGATACTAATGCCAACTATGACAAGCCGTCAACTATAAGTTATACATGTCAATATAAAAGATGTTAAAATGTGAAAAAAGTACCTCTCAGGATCAACAAAATATGATATGTATGATGTTATTTATTGTGTTATTATTTACAATGACAAAAGACTAGAAATAATTGAAGTATCCATTTACAGGGGATTGAATGTACCAGATATATCTACACAAATCAATACCACGCAGCTGTATAAAATGACAAGGAAGATGTGTATGTACTAATATACAAAGCTCTCCAAAATACGTTAAGTAAAATAAAAGCAAAATGTAGAAAAATGTCAATGTATACTATCTTTTGTTTTTTGAAACAAAGGTAAAAATGAAAATATATATTTGTATTTGTTTGCATATGGATAAACACACACAGGAAGGATAAAAAATAAACTATTAAAGTTACCTATTACCAGGAGGGGAATAAAAGAGGGAGGAATGGGAGTGTAACATTTTTGTATTATCTTTTTACATAGTTTTGGCTTCTAAATTATGTAAAAGTGTCCATATATTTTTAAATATATTTTAACTAAAAAAATATATAAATGTAAATACCAGAAGAAACAGCTAAATTTGTTGAAGGCAGGTGCCTCTGGGGCATGGAACTGAGAAGGGGGAACAGAGAATTAGGAAGGGGGCAGAGCATAGGAACTGCTGAGTTTTATTATAAGCCTTATGTACTATATGACTTCTTAAATCCTGGACATGTATTATTTTGATTGAAGAAAATTATTTCAACAAAATGCTCAAAAAATGTTGTATAATACAATGAAGAAAATGAAAAACCACTGAATCAGCTCCGATTACCCAGCTCCACAAAAAAAACACAAAAAACAAACTTGTAAATAATCCTATAATGTTGCTGTATATTGTTGTGCTGTTCATTTAGTCTACATAATTTTACTTATTGTCAGTTTGTGAGTATGTAGGTACGAGGTAGGACAGAAAATAAAACTGCGATGAGTTAGGAAAAATAATGGTGATGACAGCAAATACCTGTAGTGGTGATTTTCTAACTGGAGTATGCACAAGAATCTTCTGGGATGCTTATGAAAGTTCAGATTCCATGGTCCCATCCCCAAAGATTGTGATTTATTAGGGCTGGGGAGGGTACTCAAAATGTGAATTTTCAACAAAAACTCAAGAGTTCCTTCATCCACTCAGAAAAACAGTGGCATGCACAACAGACGGTAGGCTGGAAATCAGGCTCCATGTGGAACCAAGTGAACAAAATCAAAATGGTCCTATACCTGCAGACAATGCTTAAGGTTCACATGAGAATAGGATGAAGAAGGATAAGGTGTGTTTACATTAAATTCTGAAACTACCGTTGCTTTTCAATATTACTTTTTTTAAATTTCAAACTCAATGTTCCATAATCCATTTGCTAGAATTATCTTCCAATTTTCCCTTAAATACTGGTCGATAATGTCTTTTTACATATTTAGCAATCTTGCAAACACCTTGCAAAAGGAACCACTCTTTTTCCTCAGAGAGTTCAACAATTCATGGAGCTAGGAGGTGTACAAATAAGACTATAAATGCTGTCTGACTAAATCCCATCATCACACTCAAAATCAAAGTGTGTGACACACGAATGTTTAAAACCACTACCAGAACAATGCTATAGTACTAGGAAACTATGTCTTTCAAAAGTAAGAAAGACAGAAGAGAATTAAACAAAACAACAAACATCACTTTAGTAATAATGTTTTGAAAAGGCATTGCACCGTTTAATTTTACAGAACTATAATTACACCTCTACTTTTTCAGAAATGTTTATATTCTATTCAATGGATGGTGTTTCAAACTCTATTTTTATCAAGCAAAAGAAAAAACACTGCCAATTAATACTTAAGTAAGTTAAATACTTACTTGGTGGTTCTATAAGTATATTTATAGGTGACTTCTCGAGAAATTTGCCTAGCCAGAGCAAAAAGTTCATCTCTTCTTGTCAGCAGAGCATTGTCCTTCACACAGAGTTGAGCAGCTGCTTCATTAACAGTGAGCTAAATATCCAAAATAAAGTTTTAAAAATTAAAAACATTCCTATTCTATCAAAATGTGAAATATTTCACTTAAGAAGATAAAAATGTCGTACCATTGTATCAGGATGGTATTTATTCCTAATTATCCCTAATGCCAAATTTCAGAAGAAAATCAACTCATTTACAATCTCATAGAGCCCAAACTAATCAAAATAGTCATTTTGGTTTTGTTTATTTATATGCTTTCTTTATTTTGGGTTAAGTAACAGCATTTACAGACCTCAAGAAAAACATAAATAAAAAGTAAAAAATATTCTACATCTCATTTTTCTTATAAAAAAGCCGAAAGATTTGATTATGTGAAATGGTAAAAATATTTCCCTAACTGAAAGTCAGTATACATGGTCTGATGGATTTTTTTAAATGTGAACTGACATGAACATTCTTAAGAAATCAAAAATCAACTGATTTTAGTTAACCATTTGTCAAATAACTTAGTGAAAAATAGTTATTGGATATTAGGGCTATACTGGAAAATTAAGGTCTTGGAGACCAATCTTTAAGATCTAATTCTATCCTTTCATGAGTCAATATTTGCTAAATATTTCCAATATAGAGTTGCTAGTTGTCTAAACACCTTGAACTAAAATTTAAAACAGTAAATGGTATCCTAAACTCAAAACCTATAACTGTTTAATATATTAATTGGCAAATATATTTTTTCATGTAATTTTATCAATGTAAATATATAGAAGGAATTGTTAGGAGGTAAATCAGACTTTTTAAAAGTAAAAAATGTACTCAATCAATAGTAAAAAGAAAAAGGGATGTGATGGCCACCAGACCAGAGATAAGTCCTTCCTGCTCTACCACTTACCAGCTATGACTTTGGATATACAAAAACTTCTCCAAAACTTGGTTTTCTGAAGGCAAAATGGGATAATTTCACTATCTCAAAGGGCTCTAACAAGAAATAAATGAGGAGACACACTGGCACACAGTTCTTGCTGGTATTAGTTTCTTGTTTTCTTTCCCTAAGAAATGAGGTACAGTAGCCCTCCTTATCTGTAGTTTCATTTTCCATGATTTCAGTTACCTGTGGTCAACTAAGTCTGAAAATATTCAATGGAAAATTCCAGAAATAAAAACAATTCATAAGTATTAAAGTGTGTGCCATCCTGCTCCATCCTGTCCAGGGCATGGATTATCCCATTGTCTAATCCACACCGTCTACGCTCCCATCCATCAGTCCCTTAGTAGCCATCATGGTTATCAGATCGACCTTGGCAGGATCGCAGTGCCCGTGTTCCAGTAACCCATATTTGACTCAATAATGGCCCCAAACTGCAAGAGTAGTGATGCTGGCATATTGCTACAATTGTCGTATTTTATTATTAATTATTGTTGTTAATCTCTTACTGTTTATAAGTTACTAATTTATAAGTTAAACTTTATCATAGGTATGTATGTATAGGAACAAACAGCAAATACAGGGTTAGGTACCATCCACGATTTCAGGCATTCAACCAGGGCTCTGGCAATGCAGCCCATCCCCTGTAGAGAAGAGGGGGCACTGTATTCACCCTTTCTCTCCCCAGGTATCTCACCTTTATTTATAATAATTTTTCTTATGTAAAAATTTTAAAAACACAGAGACAAATGAAAATAAATGCAGTGTACAATCCTTCCATCCAAAATGACAATGTTTTAATATATATTATTCCAGTATTTCTCTGTGTACATATAAACAAAAGTATGTATGTATAGACAGATTTGTAATCTACTTTTTTAAACTTATGTATGCTATATTTTTTATTTTTGTCATGTATCAAGGCAGGGACTTGGCTTGTTTACATCAGCATCTAGTATGGGTTGTATGCTCAATAAATATCTGTTAACTGATGAAATAATTTAAATATCCTTTATAATATTATTTTTACTACCTACACATATAATACTCCATTGTAGAAAAGAGCAATACATTATTAAAGCAACCTCACCCTGGGTATTAAACTACACCTAGTTTTCCATGAACTATTAATACAAATAAAGCTGCAAAAAAATTCTTAAACGTGCATCTTTGCACAAATATTCAATTATTTCTTTGGAATAAATTCCGCAAATACATTTGTTAGGTCACAGAATATACTACATTTTAAGACATTTATACATTCTACCAAATTACCATTGAGAAAAGTTGATCCAAATCATAATGCTACCAACAATTATATGAAAAGTCATCTTCTAGAATCATGACCAACACTGATTATTATCTTTTAAAAACTTTACCAATAATGTGTATTTTAAATAGCATTTGGTTATAATTTGCATTTTTTGACAATGAAATTGAAACTTTTTCTTATGTTTTGAGTTATTTTAAAATCTGCTTACTTGTGGCATTTGCTTATTACAATGTTTCATTTTCTTATGGATTTCAAAAATTCTTTATATATTAAGAACATTCATCATAAGTAGTGGGTTTTTTTTAAGTTAGGAATCAGTCTCATAGTTTTTGCCTTGTGGTGCTGCTTTGTGCATAATAATAACCTTCCCACCCTACTTATACATAACTGTTCTCCTATAATTTATTCTAATAGTTTTACTTTCTCCACTTAAGTATTTAATCCATCTAGAATTTGTTACATTCACTGCAAAGTCAATTAGCAAAAAACAGAAAGAATGTATTATGGTATATGGTGTGACACAGATATCAAAGCACTACACGTCCAATGTGAGGCTATATTAGAAATATAACTGCACCCCCAGGAGAATGCAAGGAAAACTACCTGTTTTGAGTCTTGGTACTGATTAGGAGAGAATAGAAGATACTTTCTTGAGATTTCATAACCCCAAATTGGCCTTACATAGATTTTGAGCCCTAATTCACACTAAGTGTGCTGAGATTATAGTATCCCCAGATGCCTGGTAGAAGCAAAGGCAAATAACCTCTAGGGGAGTCCACTTTCTTCCTAAGCCTCTAAAAATTCCCACAGTTAAAGTTCCAAGAAATATGAATTCATAGAGAGAAGTCATAAAACATCCAAAGAAATAAGCTATCAAAGGTGAAAATTAGTAGGAATGACAACATAATCACATCCTCAAAGACTTTATTTAAAGAAATAAAAGGAGTTGAACATATGACTAAAAAGCAATTCAGTAAAAATGACCGAGAAAACTTGAGAACAGGAGAGGAGAAGGAAAACTGGGGCAGAAACAAACAGAAGTTTTTTTCCTGTTTTTTTTGAGACAGTCTCACTTCTGTTGCCTGGGCTAGAGTGCCACGGCATCAGCTTAGCTCATAGCAACCTCAAACTCCTGGGCTCAAGCGATCCTCCTCACTCAGCCTCCCAAGTAGCTGGGACTACAGGCATGTGCCACCATGCCTGGCTAATTTTTTTACATATATATTTTTAGTTGGCCAATTAATTTCTTTCTATTTATAGTACAGACGGGTCTCGCTCTTGCTCAGGCTGGCCTTGAACTCCTGACCTTGAGCAATCCACCCACCTCGGCCTCCTAGAGTGCTAGGATTACAGGTGTGAGCCACTGCGCCAGGCCCAAACAGAAGTTTTAAAAGCACATAATAAAGAACAGAATAACCACTAATTTTTAAACGTAACAATGAAAGCCCCACAAAATGGTATCTTCAACTACTCAGGGAAAACCACTAACAATATAGAATTTAATACCCCCAAAATAATTAAAAATGAGGACAAAATAAAGACATTTTCTAGTAATGTAGAGAAGGACAGAAAGTTTGCCACCAGTAGGCCTTCATTAAGAAAATTCTAAATGATATATTTCAGACAGAAGGAAACTAATCTCAGATAATAAATCTGAGTTATAAAGTATTTCCATAAAATAATGGAAAATCCAAAATATTAGTCATTATAATAAATGTAAATGGACCAAATAATAAATGTAAATGGACCAGTTAAAGACAAAGAATATCAGACTGGATTCTTTAAAATCCAACTATTGGTATTTACAAGAGATGTATACAAAACGTGGATTCAGAAAGGCCAAAAATAAAAAGATGATAAAAAGATGTAACAGGCAATTACAAATAAAAAGAGTTCATGTATTAATACCAAACAAAATAAGTTTTTAAACCAGAATGTATTATTATTAAAGATTAATAAGATTATTTCAAAAGAAATAGACAACTCTACAATTATAGTATGAGATTTTAGCATACAACTCTTTTTTACTGATAGAGCAAGCAGACAAAAAAAAAAACAACACAAAACAGTAAGAATATAAGAGATTTGAATAACAGAGTTGATAAGCTTGGTAAAACAGACACAGAACACTCCACCACCAACTGCCTAAGATGCTGTTTCTAATCACATAAAAACAACACTGACCACAAACTGCACCCTAACTAAAATCTCAACAAATTTAATGTAATTCAGTTAGAAATCATTAGGAAAAATAACTAAGGAAAAAATCACTCATATTTGGAAATGAAGAAAGATTTCTAAATAACTCATGGGTCAGAAATTATAAACCAAAAAAATCGGAATTGAAAAAAAGCCTCCTACCAAAATTTTGGGAATAACACTAATACATAATGAGAATTTGTAGCTTTAATTGCTTGTATCAGAAAAAGACTGAACATTAATGAACTAAAAACCTAAATTAGTTAGAAAAGAACAATCAAATAAACTGTAAGAAACGAAACATAAACACAAACACACAAGCACAAGCAAGAATATCAACTAAGGCAAAAGTTATTTCTTTAAAAAGATCAGGGGTTGGCAAGCTTTTATTATAAAATAAGGCCAGAGTAAATATTTTACGCTTCACAGGCCAAACAGTCTATGTCACAACTACTCAACTCTGCCACTGTAGCTCAAAAGCAGCCAAAGGCAGTAGATAAACATCTAGGCATGGCTATGTTCCAATAAAAGTTTATTTACAAGAACAAGAGGTGGGCCACATTGGCCCCATAGACCCTAGCTTGCATATCTCTGAAAAAGAGTAAAACTGACAAACCTCTGGCAAGGTTGATCAGTTAATACAAAAGAGAAAAATGTACAAACAATACTAGGTCTTAAAAACTACAAACAACTGTATGCTAATAAGTTTGAAAACTTAGATGAAATTGGCATATTCTTAGATAAATGTAACTTGTCTAAAGTGACTCAAGAATAGACTACTTTAATAGACATATAATCCATTTTTAAAAATAATCAGAAGAAAATGTCCCATATTTCTTTTCAAGTGTAAAATGCTGAAATCTATCCATTCTAAGCTGAGAGTTAAGAATAAAGTAACATAATCTATAAACAATGTGCCCAAGTTTATGGCATTCCAATATTCAGCATTTCTCCTCTCTCAAAGCTGAAACTGTGGGACTCTTGTGAAACACTCAGCCTTGACTTTGCCACACTGCAATGGAAACTGACCTAAGCCTGGCTTCACTGTTTATTCTAGGGGCCTGGGTCCTTATCTTGGTAACCTGCTTAGCACCCCAGTTCCTGTAAAATTTCCACTCAGTCTACACTTACCCACTGACTATGTTCCCATCTTCCCTTTCCTATCTTTTTATAGTTCTTTGATGGGAAGTCGCTATCTGCTGACAGATAATCTGAAATACCAAATTGTGCACCTGCACATATTTCTGAATGTAAGTTCCTACATTCTCTACTTCCTAGCTATTCCCAACTCTTATCTTAGTTTATCTCTCCTCACTCATTTATTGATTTAAGATCTAAGGTACACTGCTTGCCTAGTTTACCACCTACTGTCTGCTAACACCTCTTTCAATAGATAGAACATTCTGCCTGCCTGTGCTTTTTTCTAGTATTCCTTCTGGGTTTGTCCTTTAGCACCTGCCCCATCCCCAACAACTTGAATGGTTCTAAGCCTCAGCCCCTCATACTGTCTTTATGGTCTGACTCCTATAAACTAGACCATCCCTAGTCAGGTCCTAAAACTATGACTGATTCTTTAGTTTTTAAAAAAGTGGGTTAACAATGATTCATGCCTAATTCTTGTAAACATATAAAAAGGCTTAAAAGAAAAAGAATCTTATGTGCTTATGAGAGTAGAAAAAAATTTCAGGTATAGAAAAACTTCCTGATTTTCATCCACTAGTGACCTACATGCAGTTCTAGGTCTTAAAAAATTAAAATAACAGTATCCACAGGGTTTATATGAAGAAAACTCTCAGAACAGTGAGATTAAGCCAAAAATGAATTATGAATAAATCATATATTTCCTTATTTGGAAACTGACAATCAACTAATAATGTTCTTCAATCTCAGGAAATCAGAAAAACTAAAAAAAAAAAAAAATTTCCCTCATTTAAAAAAAATGCAAAATTCTCATAATTACCTAATTTAAGGCACACTTAATAGTACTTTCTTTCTTTTAATTCCCTCAAGATTTCATAATTTCCTCCAAGGTCTTGAATGATTCTAGTTTGAAGATAGCTTTCTGATTCATAAACTTTTATCCTACACTATATTATTGGACCAGATTCACATACTTGAGTTATAAGTAACAAGTGGCCTAAGTTTCAACAACACAAGCCACATCTTCCAAAGCTCCCACCCCCACATCTCAGCCTACTGGCATAAGTATTTTTCATTTTGAGTATTTCCTTATTTTGGGAAACCCACAATCTCATTATTTAAATACCATCTGTACCTACCTATATAGAGAAGCAAAGAGTCTCTTAGCAAAAGTGAAGTATAAAATAATTCTCTTTGGATTTTTTTTTAATAGCATAGAATTTTTTTTTTAAGTCAGGTAGACTGGGTTTATTAAAGTCATCTTTTAAAAAAACTTTTACTTTGATAAAAATACAGGTCCTTTTACTCAACTTTGCATTTCATCTCCTATGTTTTGAAAATTATATGAAAACTCAAAGCATGAAACTAAATTTGCTAACACGTTTGCCTTCTATTTTTCTGTTAATGACAGTCATACAGACTTTTAAGTGGATTCCTCTAAGTGGTTCGTAGGTGATAAAAAAGTATCAAAGTATAACTGAATTAATGCTAAGTGTGCTTTCTAGATTTACCCACAGGTTCTTGTGAGGCAGTTATTTTAAGGTAATAATAACATATAACAACTACAAAAGGATACTCCCTAAATAGGTCAAGTCACAGATTTACTGTGACTTAAGCCATTCTGTAACCAAATTATCTGATCTAAAGCTCTAGTATTCATATCTAAAATCATTTATTTGAAAAGATCAAATGATAAAATTGCTAAAAACAAGATTAATATACAGAAATTACCCAACAGTGGCCATTAAATAAATATTGAGGGAAAAAAACCTCATTTACAATTATATCCCTTTATATCTAATATATTTGTATATCTTATTTAAATCAAATAAATTTAAATATATAGGTAATATAGACATTTAACATACACAGTATTTGACATAACAGGAATAAAAGCTATGTGAACAAAAGAACTGTAAAATTACTGAGGAATATAAAAGATCTAAATAAATAAATACAGATACTATATTCCTGTATAAAAGGTTTCATTACTGTAACTATGTCAATTTTTTCCAAATTAACCTATACATTTAAGGCATTTCTAATCAAAATAACAATAGAAATTTGGGGGCAACTTGACAAACACTTAAAATTTCATTTGGAACGAAAAATATATACCATAAGATTAGCTAAAACAATGGAAAAGTTGCAAAACAAGACTAACGAAGGAGTACTTGCCTTTCCAGATATCAAAACATACTGCAAAGCTACTAAAATATCAAAATAACCAAAACAACTCTATACTGTTGACGGAATAAAGAATCAAACTTATGAAACCATACAGGATAAGATCAATAGATATAATTATATAAAATTAAATTTCCACATGGTAAAACACTCTGAAAGGTCACAGGACAAATGATAATCTGGGAAAATGTTATAAAGACAAAGAGTTAATATACTTAACACGTTAACTGCCATGTGAGTTTATTTAACTCACACTGGTTTTCAGCCTGGGGCCTTGTGAAACATATGCAACTAATACGTCTCTTTCTCCTTGGGAGCCACAAGAACTATTTTTCAAGTTGCATATAACTCATGTACAGAAAACAATAAAAAAGAACAAATTTTTCATTAAATTAGAAAGGATCATTTTTGTTTTCAAAGTTTTAATTCTATTTTTGTAATAAAACACCGTGGCCCCAAGGAAATAATTTTTTTTCCTAGTGTGGCAGTCAACATGTTAAAATATAGTAAGTTCTTACCAATCAATTTTTTAAAAGACAAATACCACTACCATTAAAACAAAGAATAGGAACATTAAATAGGATGTCTGTTAAACATATGAAAAGATACTCAGCCTCACTTAGGAAAACAAATTTAAGCAATGAAATTTTTTTCATCTATTAGACCAGATTAAAATGGATATAAAATGCACTATTAACAAGAGTGTAGAGAAATGCCCATATGCATAATAATGACAGAAGTGTAAATTGCTTTTTCAGAAAGCAATTTAGCAGTATCTATTGATATATTAAATCTACATATTCTTTGAACCCATAATTTTACACGTTGGAATCCATTCAACAGAAAAACATGCAAAAGTCTATAAAGGTGTTTATGTATAATAATGTTCATATACTACTGTATGTAATACTAAAAATCTGCAAAAAATCTATGATATCAAAAAGTGCATGGTTAAGATAAATAATGGCACATTCACATTATGGAATACAATGCAACCCAGAAATGAATAAGGTAAAAACTATGTGTACTGTACTGACTTGAAAAGATACTTAATAGCATACTGCGCTGTGAGTGTACTATTCCATTTTCAAAAAAAAGAAAAACAAAGGTTTGGAGAACAGTGTGCAAAATATGATCCCATATTTGCACAGGTAAAAGAAAGTATTAGGTTTACAGATTCAATTACTTTGCATCATTTTATAATGATTGAATACTTTCACAATGAGTATATATTCTTTTTCATGTTAAAGTACAAACCTGGGGAAAAAGATCTGATGCTGAACATGAAATACTGTGGTCAACCTGAACTTTTTTCAGAGGACTTCTTTCTTCTAAAGGACACACAGCTTATATAAGTTTAAAAAGACACATGAAATATTCTTTTTAACCTTCAAAAATGAATTTTACTTTCCAAGCATTTATTGGGTATATCAGACTCTGGGGATATAAAGATGAATGCGGTATCATCTCTGCCTTAAAGAAACTCGAAGTACACTGTGAGGGACAGGCCAGTATACAAATAAATACAATAAAGTGTTGGAGTTACTGGGACAGAAGTGTATGTAGGATTAAAAATGAAAAGGAAAGGATACATTACTCTACTTGAAGGAAAAGATAATAGAAAAGACTTAAGCTTATGCTGAGCTAAATTTTAAAGGCCAGACAGACAAGAGAAGAAAGGGAGTCAATATAAAAGTTTATACACACACACATGCACACAGGTACTTAAGCAAAATATTTCTGGATAGAGTGCCATAAAGATAAAATGAGAATTTTTAATGGCAATCATCAAACCAAAACAATGTTCAAAGCTATAATAATTCCTGCAACATTCATCTAATATAATTTTGTTCTTGATGCTGGCTGAACATTGCTTTAAATTTTGGCTATTTTTACAAAATGTTTTTTCCTTAAAAAAGTCTACAAAAAAGTTTTTTAAATGAATGGTTATATTTAAAATCCTACTTTATTTCTTAATTAAAAAGCAAACTGTTTTACAAAGACTTTAATGCTTTCACTGCTTTAAATGCTGACATTTTTCTAAAAGTCACCTCACACTGTAGTTCCAAAGTTCGAACACGTTTTGGGTTCAAAACAAATATACCCCTACCACAATAAATATGGTCTATTTTCATTAAAAAGCTATATTTTGCTAACACCTAGATGTTTTTAATACTGCTATTAGAGAGTGTTATCTACTTTGCCGTCAGCTATTACCAACCTCATCTCTAAAGAACAGCAACAAGCCACGTACATACAGAGAAACATGAGCTTCTTACCTCATGAAGCGTGAGATGTTTCCCATCCTTTCTCTTTGAGTCAAATCTGCCATATATTGCACTGTATTTCCGAATTTCCTCTTCTTTGTGTGGATCATCATCACTCATCTCAAAGATGTGACCAATCATTTTGGCCAACTTCTTGTTGGTTTTTAGCAGCTCTTTCACTTCGTTCAAGTCACTTTTGGGGAGTGTGGGGGCCATTCGTTCCACACACTCAGCCACAGAGAGCGCAGCGGCAGCATCCAGCGCCTCGCTGCTTTCCTTTGGGGAGGCTGGGGAGCCCAGGTCTGCAGGGGAGAGGCTGTGCTCGCTCTCAGTGGCATGGGGGCCTTGCCAGAGTCTGGACTCCCCAACGCTCGGCAGCGCCAAGCTCCCCAGCACATCTGACTTCCCCTGTCCCAAGCTCTGCACACAGGTGGTGGCAGCACATTTGGGGATTTTTAAATGAGGTTCCCGGGCATTACTATTCCTTTCATAACTACTGCAGGATATTCCCAGCCATGTTGGTGATCCCTCTGGTAATTTATAGATGGGTATGCTACTGACAGGAAGGGAAGTCAGCGGCTGATTGAAAAGGCCAGGGTTTGTAACCCAGTCTCTCAAAGCCTTTTGTAGCCTTCTAACATGCAGGGGCTTGCTAGCCATGCCCACGAGTGCCATGATTTCCAAAAATTCCTCTTCTCCAGCTTCACAGAGTTGCTGGACATCATCACCACCTTGTTGGATAAAGGCATCAAAATAAGAAAGTAGATTGGCTTTTTGTAATATTCTATACAGCTGCAACTCCCCCAGGGTCCTGGGCAAGGCTGCAGCCATTACTATGGATGGGTTTAACCTGCAAAATAAAAAGAGAGGAAAAACTCATCATACTTGCTTCAAACTTCTTAAACCAAATAGGTTAGACATTACAGAATTTAATAATGCCGCATAAGGAAAAACAGAAACAAGGAGCATTTGCATAGCAACTGACTGTTAAGGAAGCATTCTCTATACTTTCTCATTTTGCACTGGGAACAACCCTAAAGATCAAGAACTAAACTGACCTATTCCTTTAAAAGAGAATTACTCAGAAGCTTGACTCTAGGGACTCAAACCAAGGCTCACAGGACTCTATATCCCATCCTTTTGGCTATCCACTTTGTTGCTCCCATGGTGTGGACAGAGGTGGAGTGAAGGATAATCAAATTTAGCAGAAGGCAGAAGTAGAGTATGCTACCATTTGCTGAATACTTACTTTGTGCCAGGCAATATGATAAACACTTCACATTACATATTTCTAATCCTCACAACAGCCCTATGAGATAGGTATAGTTATTCCCATTTTATAAAGAAAAATGAGCAAGATTAGTCTGGCAGGCAAAGGAAGATAAATTTCAATATGAAATGGAAATGAGAAAATAAAAAGTGGTATATTTAGGAACAAAGAAAAAAGAGGCAACAAAAAAATTCAAACAAGTAAGTGATAAGATTTGATGATCACTTGAAGTAAGTGATGAAGAAGGGAAACAGTTACCATTTACTGACACTTTCTATGGTTTGAGGATGAGAAGAGTTATAGGTGAGTGTGATTACATATCTGACAGTCCAGAATTTTGACAGGCATTGAGGATACAGAAAAATCAGGATGAGATTTCCTTTCAAACACATGGCACTTGAACATGGCATGGGGTAGAAGGCTTGTGCAGAACTGCCCTGCATGGAAAATAACAGACTACAATCTAAGCATGTATCAGGAATAGAGAAGTACGATGAAAGGAGGAGGGTGGGTGAACCCTCCAAAGCAGCAGAGGAAACCCTATAAGACACAGTCAAGGAAGAAACATACTTTTAGAGCCCAAGCAAATCAGAGAAGCCTGTTTTTAAAGAGACAGAACAAGATCCAGCAAAGTACTTCTTACCCTTTCAGCAGCCTTTAAAAGTTGTTCACAATTACCCAGAGACCTCCAATATACAAAGAGGAGCTGACTGAGTACTTCCATTTAAGAGAAACAAATAAACTTGTAATCAATGCACCCTTAAGATGAAAAGGACTCTGTGGCCCTCTATGGAGAAAATTACAGAAGGTATGCATCAGAGAAAAAGGGAAGACCCACTCTCAACTCAAATAGTATGAAGCGATAGTTATCTGGGAGGTAATGTAAGCAGAGGAAGATTAGAGACATCCTTGAAAACCAGGAAGTCACCAAACCTGGGACTTTTGTTTTATGCCATCAGCCAGGATGTCACACAAATTCTAGTCTCAGTCACTCCAAGGAGCCCAATGCATGGGCCCCCCTACCATTATAAGGACTGATTACTGGGAAGTCACATTTCCTTTGTGCCATTCACAATGTTTTGATCAACTAGTGAATTCCACAAATTTTATGGCTTTTTATTTGCGAGAGTTAGTACAAGCATAACCAGGTGACCTGATGACTTTCCAAATGACCAAAAAAGACTGAATTAGGGCCCAGTAGCTTCTGCTAACACCCAGGAAATCACTTGGGGTGCTTTTGAAAATACAGTCTCCCAGGTCGCTGAGCTGCATCTCAGGAGACTTCCATGAGTTGGCAAATCTGACAAGCTGCACAAGAAGGTCCCTACTTAATAAATCCTCCGGGCATCACAAACTCCTATTGGTTCTATAATCATCCAGGTTCTCTAGGTCGACCTTCACATTCACGCTACCTCAGTACTCTGGATAAAAACATTCTTGCATCTTCCAAATCACCTAATGGAAGATCTGCTTGTACTCCCACTCCAGAGAAAGTTGATCGTGCAGTTGGACACTAATCCACAAAAACACAACTCTCAGGAATTACAGGCTCAGGTTTAAGTCTATATTAAACCACACTATAACAAATGGAAGGGCTTCCAGAAAGTGTCTGAGGTGGAAGAACGGAAATTCACTTTTCCTTCATACAACTAATGCAATTGCTCCATAGGCTTTCAACTCAAGAGTATTTAAAAAAATACATATACACACAATGTGTGTACACAATCTTTGTCAAAAGAGGGCTGTAACTGTGCAAAGTTTATGGAATGATCAATTAACTCACCAGATGTACTCCCCAGATTATGGAATAGAGGAACGATTACATGAGAAAATCTAGAAAAAGAGTTTTTAATCTTTTTATGAGCAATAAGAAAAAAAAAAGAATATGTTAGACAAATATAAAAGAGAACCTTAAGAAAAAGAGAACTAAAAGACCCAAACTTAGGTTTTATTCCTCTGAGATAAGGTGATGATTTTAGAAAACAATAATTTTCAAGTTTTATCCTTTCTCATTTTTACTCATAAAAAAAAGGATGTCCCTAATTCCTAAAAGAAAGCCCTTAAGTACAGGTAGGTAGTAATGAATATACTATCAGCCATAAGGATTGACCAGATCAAATGTGCCTTTCCAAAGCCAAGATAACAGATGAAACATAACTAAGTAACCACTCAGTCCCAAGAGGCTTTCTAAAAGCCCATACTTACTGCTGGGAAAGGAGTTTTCTCCTTAAGCTTTTGCTTTAGGAAAATGTTTCAGTTTCCTTTCAAAGCCTGCTATGATAATTTAAACACCCACCTCTTCGTATATTAACTTTTTGATTAAAAAAAAAAAACTTTTATAAGATTTTCTGTTTTCACGAAATCTGTAACCATTCACGGTTCAACATGAAGGTCAAACATGTCAAAAGCAAGCTTCTACCTGCATCTCTCCAATCAGAAATAAATATGAAAGGGGTCCCCAACACAACACTATACCCAGGTAGCTTATATAATAATAGTATAGTAAATCCACTCAGCTGAACACTGCTACCTGGCCTTTTCAAGATATCCTGGAACAACCATGCTGGGTCTGACCTTTTTATAATTTCCACAGTTACGAGAAACCAGTTACTCATTCTTACTGTATTCAAAAGCTGAACCTGAGGCCTTGTTGCAGGTGTACAGCAAACTTCCACTTAGACCAGCTTAAATGTTCCTCTTCCTGCCCAGTCCAAGAAAAAGAACCCCAGTATTAGGGAAGAGGAATTAAACAACAAAGGATTAGTTTAAGACCATTTGTTGTTATTCACTCATCCATTTTAAATGGTAAAGATTTGTTCCAAAACCTTTTTTAAAAAATCTCACTTTGACTCCTTATACGGTAGCATCAGTCATTTGCCAGATTCAAACTATGCTAAGTGAAATAAAGAGCTAGTCTGGTCCAGAAAACTGTACTGGTCAACTCCTGTTTCCCTATGGGAAACAAAATTTCCCTGACATTCTCCACACTGGGATATGCAGATTTAGGATAGGAGGGAGGCCTTTAATGGTCACTAGGGGAAAACAGAACCATTCCTTCAACCCCGCCTCAGTACAGCCTGCTTTCTGGCCTCACCAGTCTCTCAAAATTCTCCAGTAACAACTGAGTTATCCCCTGGGCCTCTCTCCCATCAACCTCTCTGCTACACGACATCATTCCTTGATTGCTCTGCACCTGACTTTGATAATGCTGTATTGTTTTTCTTACCTTCCCTTGCTACATTCTAAGTACAAGAATTCCTCAAAGTTTTATACTAGATCTCTTCCTATATTCTGTTCATATTCTCCCTTGCTGATCTCATCCACTCCCAGGCTTCAATTATCACTACTGGTAGATGACCTCCAAATCTGTATCTGTAGCTTGGACCAGTGGTTCCTGGGCCAGGGTCATGGAGTTACTGCAAAGTGTTCTCAAGTCCAAATGCACACCAAGCACTGACTACCGAGTGAAAAAGATGCTCTCACCACACATCTGCTTTGCAAATAAAGTTAAATAGACACTTCTGTGATTTAATAAAATACAAACTCATTTAAAAGTGTAACTAAATTTGTTATTTTTGTCATTATATGTATTCTCAATGCTAAAAGTTATCATGAATATTGACATTTTTTTTAATTTAAAAAGTGATCTTCATACCTGAAAGGTTTAGAACCATCAGCCCAAATCGTTCCTCTAAACTATAATTTGGCATTCACCTGGGGATTGTCAAAATCTCCAATCTGATACATCCCAAAGCAAGTACATTATCTCATTTTCCTCCCTTTATTCAGATTCCCAAATCTAATCTTCCCAACTCTCATTAGTTGCACCACTAAGTGGTGCAACTAATGAGATTAATAAACCTTTGGATTCCATCTTTGTTTTTCCCTCTTCCTTCCTCAAATCTACATGCCCTTAGGCCACACCACTTTTCTTCCCCCGCCTCAAAAGCACCTAATTCTAGTGTTCATGGCTTCTTGACCTAACTTTAAAAACAGCTCCTTCACTTTGAATAGACCCCACACAGCAATGCCAACTTTACCTTTCTAAAGGACAGGTGTGGCTTTTAACGCATCTGTGCACATTTTTCCACTGCATAAAGAAATCCAAACTGCTCATATAGGCATTCCAGACCCAAATCTACCTTTCCAGCCTTCTATTCCTCAACACGCCCCTATGCTCATGCTAAACAGATATACTGGGCATTCCTCAAATATGTCTCCCACTTCCTTGCCCTTTGCCAGGCATCCTCCCTCCCTTCAACCCCCATAACCTTTTTCCAAAAAGCCTTCCCTCTGGCTGTTGGTGTCCTTACCCTTCTCTGAACTGCACAACGCTTTCTCTCACTCTCATTTTTTGCACTTATTCAAATATACCAAGCACTGAAGCAGTTCTGAGGATACAAAGGAAAGATGGTCCTTCATGGAGAAGACAGACAAGAAGCAGACACTTAAACTACGGTAAATGCTACACAATGTGTTAAGGAGCCAGAGAACCAGGGAAATGATTTACCTATCTCTGCAGAACAAGTTACTGCTAGGTTGTAAGTACCTTGAGGACAGGAATTAGGCCCTATTAATCT